TAAAGGAAAGGCTGCACAGTTTTTGATTGGTTTGTCCTTATGTTCTTCAAAATAGGCTGCAGGTAGGGGTAGGCACTCTTTGTTTCTGCAAATAAAGAAATGGAGGGTGTTGATTAAATTTTTAAATCCAGTTTTATTGGCTTTGCACTTATGGTAGCTTGACTTTTTCATATCTCTATCTGTCTGTCTGCCTGTTTATCTTCTATCTACGTTTCTATTTGTTTTATTAGTTGGGAAAATTTCATTAGGTGTGCTAGCGATTAAACTGGGAAAGTTTTCCTCTCATCACTTCTATAGCTCCTTTTTAGTGATATTTCTATTATCCCTAGATCACCTGACTTTGGGGCAGACTATACTCATTGGATGAAGGTTCAGCAACTCTCATTGATTAAAGGTAATCACAAGCTTCAAAGTGATTAAAAGGCATGCTAAAGAAAGATTAACATGAAATAAGAGTGTTTCTTCTGGAATTCTGTGAAAGAACACTGCCAAGGGGACAGTTTGGGAACAAATGTGTGACAAATTCACAGATATTCCTTGTGACAGTCACAAATCTATGCGTATCTTTATGATTGCTAAGGCACAATATTCCCATATTTCTTTACTCATGGGATAATTTTGAATGTATTTCCCATACATGAGGGTTTTGTATAGCTGATTTATCATAAATATTAAAATAGAATTATATTTTATGGATACTTCCCACTCTTCATTCTACTATTAGCTGCATTAAGTCAACACAAGTTGTATTAGGTCAACACATTATTTCAATTTATATATAGCAGAATATTATAAATTGTAAAAAATTCAGGAGTGCCCTTCAGTATTTTGTTTTTTGTTTTCCTTTTAAAAATATGGTGGATTCTTGTTCTTTCACAAGCAGAAAGAGAGACGCTGTAAAATTTATCAAATTAAGCGAAATGCTTCCTTATGTTAGCATGGTATACAATAGAGCTGTGTCAGGCATGTGGAGAACACTGGTAGTTCCTGAATGAAATTTTGAAACAGTTATTCTACAGTAAAATTTCAAAATTTGAGTTAGAATTTACCTATTTTAAGTGTGCATAGCAGGCACATTTTCTAATAATAGAGACACACATTTTAAAATATATACTCTCAGAGTACATATATGGTTGGTGCTTCATGAGAGTTTTTCCCCATTAAGGGATAAGGAAGATGAATGCTGGAATTTTACTTTTTAAAGCACTTTATTCGGAGTCTAGTCTCAGCTTTATTTATCAATTGTCCAATGACTTTTGCAAAAACATTTTAAATTAAGCATCTATTTCTATGTCAGTGACTGTTGAAATGCTGTAGCACGAAAGTCAACATAGACTGGACTACGAGAAGAATAATTCTGCCACCTCTTTATGTAGCAGAGTTTTCTAAATAAAGTTCATTGCATGGATAATTTCCTATAACCACAGGGAGCCAGAGTTGGCTGACTGACCAGGAGAAAATTAACGAAAAGCAGAGAGGCCTGAAGAAAGAGGGAATGATTGAGGTATACTGTTGCCTATTATAAAGGAAATAGACTAATGCCAAGATGAAGGGAGTTGATCAGAAGTTTACTCACTCAGGACTAAATAACTGATCTGAGGGAAATGCATTGGCAGTTAGTGAGGAATCCAGACTTCAAGCTATATCAGGCATTGCTGGTGACGGAGAGAGTGCCTATGGTTGTTTTGTTTGAATGATGTCCACTTTTCTAGGACTGTTAATGGTGTGTTCAATTTCAATTTAAAGCATTTCTATTGAGCTTCTGAATTATTGATCAGGGATGATGAAGGATGAGCCTACAACCAAGTGTGAAGTTACTGGTTAAGTTGATGCCGGGTAAGGTATTATCTGAGGCAAAAATTCAGCTCACAGAGGTTTCTTTTTTCTTTTTTTTTTTTTTAATTTAATGATATAGGGTTCTTGTTAAAAACAAAAAACCCAAACATGTTTCATAAGAAGACATGGAAAACAGCACAGTTCAAATCTAAGAAGTTGGTGCAACTCTCACTTAAGCATCAGTTATAAAATGTAAAATGGTTTTCTGTGTAGCAAAAAGCAAAATTTCTGCTTCAGCATATTATTGTGGGGTATAAAATTCAGTAGTTGCATTTTCTATGGGAAGATATCTGTGGATGTGCCATAATAATACAAAACTCTGTCTGGAAGCAATATGTTGATTTTTCGGCATATGTCTTTTTAAATTGGAAGATTTAGAATTGCATAAACAGATTCCTGGTGCTTCCTTCCTATTTAGGTGTGGTACTATTCTAAAATGAAGCAGGATATGGGACGGGTGCTAGCTCGAGGGGGCCTGATCCACAAGGGGGAGATGCAGTGTCTGAATGCGGGGCACAGATACAGCACAGCTGCTTTTGCCGCTTAGTACAAAGAGAAAAATACATCCCTGACTGAACTATTTAACCAACACATTTATTTCTAAACTGCGGAGTTGAATTGTTGCTTGGTTATTCATACATTCTTACATAAAACATGATAAAAAGACAATGCATTTATTGCTAAAATGCTGGGAAGAAACTGGTAAAGAAAAAAAATACAATTCATTGCTTGTGAATTTCTGCCCCTGTACGCCCCAAGCCCCCAAGTGGCTTTCACTTATGCTCAGTTCACAGTATTATAAACCCGAAACAATAAATGGCATTCCTCTCTTGATCACACATTAGCCCAACAGGCGTTTTATTTTAACCAAACAGGCCACCATGAGGACACCAGTCACTTTGCTGCCAGACTTTCCTGGAGTTCCTCCTTAGGGTACGGAGTGCTTTGTTTTGCTTAGGCATGGGAAGGGGAGGGAAAGCTCAAGGGTAAAGACAAAGGTGAAGGAAGGCATAACCCTACAGCAGCCCACTATAGGTACCTTCCTGCTGTAGTAGATGACTATGTGTCAATGCACGTTAATATTTGATGTGCATCATCATTAGCATCCTTTATGTGCACTTTCACGATATTGTGAAGCAGTAAGGTTGCTTTAGACAAGGATTGATATGGCCAAGTGCAGTGGCTTTTACTTGGTGAAATTAGCACACATGCTGTCCTTACAACGTCAAAAGGGATGCTTCTGTTTATATTGAATAAACAGGCAGAGCTTGAGTCCAGCCTTTTTTCAAAACACTGTATTATCTTGAGTGCATAAACAAGACTGACAAAATAGTTCTTCTTAAATGGCACACTGATGTATTCTGTATTCTGCTACTTGGAAACAAAGACTTAGCTTCTGCCATTATAAAAGACCCTTGAAACAGATCTAGAAGTGAAAGCTTATGCATTGTGGGATAGACTGAAGAAGAAAACTGAAGAAAATGCTTAGATCTAAAAAGACTTCTGTTCATTTTTATTTTCTTTTTCTGAAAATTGAATACAAGCACTGGAAAGCATTATTTGCTCACACAATGCCTGACCACATGTGCAAGCCATTAAAAGGGCGTAGCTCCCCTGCCATTTTGATGCAGTCCAAAATAAAAATATAAATGCCAATGGAACAGTTTCTCCAGATATTCTCCAGCTGTCCCTTGTATCATTAATTTTCTTTTCAAGTACAATAATTCACCCCTAACAATAACCTAAATAAGATTTTTGTAGAGGTCAGAAAAAATCCATGCTTAGAGGGAGGACAGTTCATGACAAGGGGGAAGAAAGAGAAATTAGTATGTGGCTTGTGCAAAAATAAGGATCTGAAATAATAACGACAGTCTTAATCTTGCAACATTTCAGGAAAATATTAAGGTCAACTTCTCATTATGATAATTTTTCACAAAGACTGCTTACCAGAATTTAAATCAAAGTTGCACTGCATCATTAATTCACTTATTCATTCATTTCAAAAGCATGTATTCAGTCCTTGCTTTGTGTTGCATATTACACATGACAAAGGAATGTCAGGATATATATCAGAGAGGAATGCTATCCTTAAGGAGATTACCATATAAAACAATATACAAAATAATATGTACATGAGTAACTATATAGACAGTACAAGAAAGAAAAGAACAAGTCAAAACAGAAAGATGATGTTGGATGTGGCAGCAACATCTAAAATGATCCTCAAGGGTCTTGCCTCCTGGTATTCATGCCCTTGTGTGATGCCCTACCCTTGAGTGTGGGCTGGAACTAGTAACTATTCTAATAAACCGGAGGAAGTGATGGGCAGGGCTGGCTTTATGGGCATGTGACCAATGCACACGGGGCACACAGAGTCTTGAACTTGGTTTAATGTTCTATTGTCATCAACTTGATGTTCTTAATCATTTTAGCTTTGAATTTTGTAAATGAAGTCAAGTGAGACAATGGATCAGAGCATGAGCTCTGTGAGCTATGTTCAATATGTGTGTCTGCCTCCTTCGCTTGCCACCTTGTTCACATAGGTGGTTCTCAGTGCCTCATGAGCGCAGGATTCCCTCACTGAGTCATGGGAACTCAGTGAGACTCAAAGCAAGTAGAAGGTAAGTGCTGTTACGGTTTAGCTGTGTCCCCACCCAAATCTCATCTTGAATTGTAACTCCCATAATTCCCATGTGTTGTGGGAAGAACCTAGTGGAAGGTGATTGAATTATGGGGTGGGTCTTTCTTGGCACTGTTCTTGTGCAAGAGTCTCATGAGACTCTTGAATGAGTCTCATGAGATCTGATGGTTTTAAAATGGAAGTTTCCCCGCACAAGCTCTCTTTTTGCCTGCTGCCATGCATGTAAGATGTGACTTGCTCCTCCTTGACTTCTGCCATGATTGTGAGGCTTCCCCAGCCATGTGGGACTGTAAGTCCATTAAACCTCTTTCTTTTGTAAACTGCCCAGTCTTGGGTATGTCTTTATCAGCAGCGTGAAACCAGACGAATACAAGTGCATTACTTCTATGACTAAGTAAGGAGGATGCAGACTGCTGCAAGAAGATGCCCCTTCTGTTCAAACTAGAGCTTGTTTATCACAGAGAAAGATGGCAATAATGTCCTGAGAAATATGAATGACCAAGGAACGCTATCCAACTGTTGTGTGTGTGTGTGTGTGAGACTTCCCTGGATGTGTGAAATTTGACTTCCCAGGATTAGCCAACCATTTATATTGAAAATTATGACACAGGTGGAAAAAGACAGGGCAGACTATATTTCCTTTTCCTGCAGTCACTTTTTATCAGCAAGCAAAGGTAGGCAGGGTTGGTAGAATGTGTGAGCATCATGATGTGCAATAAAAACAGTTAAATTCGTTTTGTGTAAAAGTTTCCACTATTCTTGTAAGAATGAAATACACATGAATGTATAAGCTATGAAATCCAAATTGTGTAATTTTGGTGATTCTATATACAAATTAGATGCTCTTATATTTGCATTTAAGCCTGGCATAGTACAATATAAAAATGAATGGTAAAATTACGCTAATTATTTAAAATTTTAACCTTTCTCTACTCAGAATGACAAAGCGAGTAAAAATCACCATAGGAAGTCAAGAAAAAGACACCGACAGAAGCAAGAGGAAACCCTTTAAGGGAACTTCTTCTTGCTTTTTGAACTAGGGACTTCATATATTTCTTTTGCATTGGGCCCCACAAATAATAGGCCAAAATAATGCTATGTTGCTTCCAAGACTAGATTATAAAAATAATACTCTGGCATCCACCTCTTTCCCCCTCCTCCCACCACCATTCTCCACCTACCATCTCTTTCTTAGTGGTTGGGGGAAGGGAGGGAATTTAAGCCATTTTGTCAAGACACTTTGGCCAACAACCACCAAGAGCCTGAGTATTGCCAGCGGACGCATGAGTGAGCTTGCAAGTGGACCTTCCCCCTGCTGAGCCTTGAGAGAACTGCAGCTCTGGCTGACATCTTGATTGCAGTTGTAGGAGGAACCCTAAATCAGTAGCACACAGCTAAGCCACACCCAGATTCCCGACCCACAGAAACTCTGAAGTTTAAGCATTGTTGTTTTAAGCTGCTAAATTGTAGGATGATTTGTAATGCAGCAATAGAAAAGGAATAGAAAATTGAGATGCAGTGGAATGAGAGCTTTCTCCCAAGGACTGAAGAAGAGTCCTCTGATCTAAATCTTTTAGGATGAGCATTTCGTGATGGAGGAAGTGGCATCACAGGTAGAAGATGCTGTGTAATCTAGGCCAGGACAATATTTCCCAAACCACTTTCTTACAGGACCCCACCATAATCTTAAAAATTATTTGAAGACCCCAAAGGGCTTTTATTTATGCATTCTATACATATTGATATTTATCATATTAGAAAATGCAACTGAGGGATTTAAAATTTGTACTTATTGATTGATTTAGAAACAATAACATACCCATTGCATGTTGATATAGATAACATTTTTATAAAAATGAATATGTTTTCTAAAAGTAAATTCAGTGAGAAGAATGGCAGTGTGTATATTTTTTAAAACCCCTTTACTGCTTGGCTTGATACAACAAAGCTGAATTCTATACCTGCTTCTGCATTGAATCTGTTGAAGAACACATATCAAGTCGCTTCTGAAAACCTCCACTGTGCATTTGTGTAAGAATGAGAATAAAAAAGGCAAATAATGTCTTAGTCCCTGGACCACATATTGAGATAAACTGATCTAGGTCATGGAGATGAGAGAGTCCAGAACACATATTGACTAAACCACATTGTAGATGGAAAAATAAAGTTATTCTCAGAAGGCTTGCATATCATACTCAACAGCTTATTCAGTAGAGGATTTGGCAGACATTATTTGCTGCCTATCCAAAAGCCATTTCTGCTCCCTTTCTTCCTTACTAGAGAATCCTTGAATCTGTTCAGATATTAGAAGGTCATGGGTTGAGGGGAAGTATGTTGATTGGTGTTCCCTTTCCCATGATTGCTATAAGCACATATATGTGACACAACCATGGTGGTGAAAAGAAATCAGCTGTGGTTGGTGGTGATAGCAAAGTGTAAACTCATCGATACAGAGGTTTACTCCTTTCTGCCTTTGGATATTGTGCTGCTTGAGCTTGCTGTAGCCTTCCTGTTTCAATGCTGAGAAAGCCAAAGGAATCTGAGCTGACCGAGAGCCCGCATGTTGTTGACAAGCCACAGAGCTGCCCAACCTCTTTTATTGTTGAGTTATTTTGATTCAGAGAATTGTTGAAGATTCTGAAATTGTGAACTGTCTACAAAGAGTGGACTGATCACTGTGGGCTGGACTTTGAGGCAGCAGCGAGGTGATTATTAAGATAGTCAAGTTAAAGGCACTATGGGTCTGAACTACAATGGTGTCAATAGAAACAAAAGGAATACAGTAAATGTGAAAGAACTGTGGAGATAAATTTTTAGGACTTAGCAGCTGAGTAGATGGACACTGGCATGCACGGAAAGGAGAATGGAAGGCAAGCATCAGCAATGGCATGGTTAATTGCTCCCCTGCATGATTAGAAGAATAGAACAGAAATACTGCAGGTTGGGTGGGGCGGGGAGATGATGGGTTAAATTGGGACATACAGAGTCAAGAAAGAGATACTTAAAATAGAGTGCATGTGGTTGGTGCTTACATAAATGTTTGCTGTGATCTGGGACAGAATTGATCTGATAGTCATAGGGTTTGTTTCCTCATCTCCTTCACATTTTTACTAAAATATTGCCTCCTTAGGAAAGCTTTCCTTGGTCATCCTATCTGAAATTGCAATATTCACGACCCACTTCCTTAACAGTCTTGTCCAATATATCCTAAAAAGTCCTGTGTCGCTTCTACACTAATTTTTTACCTGAACATTTATCTATATTAAACTACATATATGCTTATTTATCATGTTTTCCTAATAGAAGGTAAGTTCAGTAATGGAACTTTTTATCTGTTTTGCTCACTTTGCAGCTCCAGTGCCTGGGACAATGCCTGACACTTAGCAGACAGTCAGTGAATATGTGTTATACGAATGAATGAATTCAGAGCTGCAAAAATATTGTCTATAATATGCCTAAAGATAAAAATGGAAGCCTCGGGACTAGATAAATGCATTTTTACTGAATGCTGAATTCACAAAGATAATACCTGAGATTTATTAAGCACCACGTAATGTCTTAAAAATTTTATATACATTTTAGGATTTAACTCTTATAAAAATCCTGTGGGTAAATACTGTTGTCTCTCCCACTTTACAGGTAGAGAGGCTGAGGTTCAGAGAGATTAGGTAACTCAACTAAGGTCAAAAAGTCAGTCAGGGAGCTGGGCCTTTATATGAAACACCAAAATAAGCTCTTGTGTAGAACCCTTGAGAGAGATTTTACTCTAATGGCTGCAATTTTAAACTGTGTTCAGCTGTGGTATGTAGTTTTCCGAGGAAAATGACCCACAGTCCTTCTTGCTTTCTGGCTTTGTAAAAGGTAGAGATGACCGCTTAAAGGTTCAAGGAAAATAATTCCTGACTTTGAAATCAGAAGATCATTCAGATAATATACTTACTTATAAACATCCTCTCTAATGTCTGAATAAAGCAAGAGTAAAAGATTGATCAAACAGCAACAAACACTTTAACAGTTAAAAATACAATTAATGGGTCTGTTGGAAAGACACTTTTAGCCCCATTGGTTTTCTACCTGAAACCAGAGTGAAGGGACCTGAAGGCTCTCATAAGATATATAAGACTAGCCAGTACAGGAAAGATGATGCTTTTCTTGAAGTCATATATTGTCTAAGTTGAAGTTACATGACTTAGAAGGTCAGACGTGTCATCTTTTCCCTTAACGCCTCAGAGATTCTCTTCACCAAGAAAATGACTACACGCTTATTTCATTTAAAACAGACTCAGCCTAGGGATGGTTTTCCTCCTTCTATAGAAAAGCAGGCTATTAATGAAGATAAGTACCCTTTTGGCTTTGCAACACGTTTTTAACATTTTACTCATGGACATGAGATGGGAAAACAAGATGAAAATGATTCTCTTATTGGGCATTCAATTAAAAAATGTCATGACTTTGCCATTAGTTTGTATAAATCCTAGAAATGAGTTTCAACGAGAGTGTGTTATTATGTGGGGAAAGAGACAGAAGTGTATAACCTTGGGCAGATCGTTTAACTTCTCTCTGCTTTACATTTACAAGCAGTAATACAAAGAGACAGGATTATATGATCTCCAAGGTCCCATCCAGCCCATTTAACACAGTATGATTATTTGAGAGGCAATTTAGTGAGGGAGTGAGAAGCCTGGGCTCTGGAGCCAGAATGCCTATGTTCAGATCTTGGCCCCCTTCAATTATCAGCCATAGGATACGGTATAAGGAATGTACCTCCTAACAGTTTCTCCCCATTTCCTTACTAGCAAAATCAGGATAGGAACACTTACGGTCCTTTTGAGTAGCAAACAAAGTCTTCTTTGTGAACAATTGCGGTTTATTTTATATTATAAATAAACCTGTTCTTTTTTTCTCTAACAACAACAAAATAACTTTCCTAAGATTCAGGATGGTATGGTTTTTCTTGGTTTAAGCTCTTTATTTAATACCTATACTAGTATTCAAAGTATAAAAATAGATTAAAGCACTAATTTTGTTTTTACAAACCTAAACAATTGGTTTGATGGTGTTAGTACCCCTCACCTCAAGCCCCTAGTAGAATAAGTGCTAACATTCAAGGCCTATTTAAATGGCTGCTTTGGAGTCAGATAAAGAATTTCTGTGATGAGCAAAGACACTATCATACAGGTAATCAATAACAACAGAACAAATACGTTCCTCCAAATCAGTATAAATAATAAATGTTTAAGATATAGGCAAAGATAAATACTTTTGAGATAAGCTTCTTTAAATAAGCAATTCAAAGACAACTGAGACTAATTATAGTTATTATGTATATTCCTAGTAACTTCATACAATAGATGTTCAAATTCCCTTTATATGAATAAGAACCTGGCGACTCAGGAAGGTTAAGAAATTTGCATAAGGCCACACAGCAGTAAGTGGACACACCAAAATTTAAGCCAAGCAAACTGACTTTAGCATCTCAGCTCTTAATTAGACTGCTTTTAGCACAAAAAAAACAGTTTGGATTTTTTTTTTTTTTTTTACACAAAACCTGTGCTCTCTCAAAATACCAAGCTGCCTCATTAGATAAATCTCTCCATACATCCATCTGTTCGGCCCTCCATCCATCAATCCATCCAAACATATTTTTCCCTATTAAACATGACCAGCAGGGCTGGAGCTCTTGGTTCATGGTCAATGAATAAAGATAGGCAGATTTTTACATTTAGATTTTGATATAGTGTGATCATCCCACACCTATGATTTGGCTACAACTCAGTCACAAATGGACCATCTACCCTGGTAATAGGGCCTTTTGTTAGTGAGAATTCCCTAGTTAGTTTTTACTAACTAAAGAGGTTTGCACCTCTTTCTCCTTAAAAAAAATCCTTTTTTTATAAACATGATTTTGAGTATCAAGAAAAAAATAAAATTTAATGAGTATGTTTTTCATTTTTCACAATAAATCTTAGAATTCCAGTTAAAATAACAATCTCAAGTACAGTGTTAAGTATAATTCCTAAAATTTAAAGTTAGTTTATGACAAGTAGTCAAAGATTTAGCTGAAAAATATATTCATTCCCTTCCCTTCCACTCTCCCATCACTCCTCCATGGGGATAAAAAGAATCACTGATATGTTGCACATTGTAGGAACAAAAATGGATTTACCTTTTTTGTCTTCTTTTCCTTTTACTAATCTCTACCTTGGTAGGTCTTATGTGAAAAATCAATTTCTGCTTTATTCTTGTAAGCTTGGTTTTATCTTTCTAAATATATTCTTCTTGTCAGAACCCAATCAAGCATTTTGCTCTCTCCTGTTTATAAATTGTTGTCCTACTTTATAATTTTGGTTATGATTGTCTCTGGTTCATTTTCTCCTTTGTCATAGGCACTGTGGCTCTGGAGACCTGGAAGCACCACTAACTGTTCTCTCGATTTTCTGATGCTCGGCCACATCAACCTAAGTCATGCTAGTTGTGAGGAGGAGTCAAGGACAGTGACACAGCCAGCCAGTCTGAGGGGTTTTCCATCATCCTGAAGGAGTTGCTCTATCCTGCTTTTCACTGGAGGGGGCATGGATGGGTAGGTAAACACACCTGCCGTGAAGTTTCCAGTTCTATCCTCCTGCAAGGCCTTCGGGGATAAGTGTCTTAGAAGATTGGTCAGTATCATTTGCCAACTTGATGTCTCTTCCCTTTTTAATGGTCCTTAGTTTCCCCACTGTTTCCTGTCACAGGAGTCAATTTCACTCCACATTTATCCTTTCTTACTGGGCACTGATGTTGACAGCATCAGTCAGGGTATAATGTTATGCTGCAGTAACAAACACCCTCAATATCTCAGTGGCTTAAAATGACAAAGATCTTTTTGTTTTGTTTTGTTTTATGCTCTATATCGCCCAGGGTCCCTGGATGACAAATCAGTCACCTACTTGAACACTGCTAGTGACTACTACCAGTCAAAAAGAGGAAAGTTTGCAGAGTTTTGTATTGACAATCAAACATTCAGCCACAGGTTACAGTCTAGAACCAGACACATCAGTGTCCTCCACTGCAAAGGAGCCAGGAAGTAGCATCCCACAACACAGTCCTATGTCCACTTTTTTGGAGGTAGGAAATTGGAAATATTCAGTGAGTAGCACTGTGAATAGAGCAGTAATTTCATTTTTTAATTAAACAAATGGAAAATGGCAGCTCCTCAGTTTTTTTCTTCTGTGGTTTACTTCTGATGTCTTATCTTAATTAATATATTGTGATATCTTTCTATTTCCCATTACTTAGTTTGTCTTTGTTCCCAATATTCCATTATTTTCAGTAAATATTTGCTGTCATTATACCCAGCAATCTAACTTTTTGCTACCTCAGTGTCTATTCTCATTCCTCAGTCCCAAATCCATTTTCTTTATTAGATTTCTCTGAACTCCTGCAGCTCTTTCTGTCTGCATCACACAACTTAACCTTTAATTACTTGCCTACTGGGCATTCTACTTGGTTCTGCCTTTTATCAGCCGAATCAGAACATAACTTTCTCTCACCACCTCCCTCCCCTACTCCAAATTGACTCTACCTCCTGATCCCCTATTTCCAAAGTGGTTCCATTATTCTTCTCAGTGCTCAGCCTTAAAATCTTCATTTCTCTTTGATTCTTTTTCTAATCTCTTGCTTCTCATAATTGTGCAGTTACCAAACTCTCCCCCATGAACTCGATGTCCTCATGTGGATCAAATGATACAGTGAAAGTGAAAGTACGTTGTAGACTCCAAATACCAGAGGATATTGCTCTCTATTCCTTCAACTATTTTCATTCCTTATTTATTTATTCATCATTCATTTATTCATGTACTTACTCAAGACCTAAGTGTTTTCTTGGAACTGTGCTTGTTACTGAGGAAGCCACAAATTAAATATAAGTCTGCTCTCCAAGAGGTTACATTCCAGTTAAGGAGAACGCATATCCATACTTCCAGGTAACTAGCAAGGGAAATTGCTATGGGATATCTGGCCAGCTGGATATTCTGCTGGAAGAGCAGAATGCATTTCAAAGACTAGCCAATAAAACTCTCATGTGAGACATGTTTTTCTTTTTCTTTCTATTCAACTAAGGAATAGAACCTCGGTGATTTAAGGAAAGGCAGGCCCATGATATGGAAAGAGAAGGGGATGATGATGATATTCTGGAATGGTCTTGTAAGGCTTCAGGAGGAAGTGAGAGTGATGACTGAATCATATAACTCCTGAATAAATATTTGGAATAAATATTTATTCCAGAATAAAACATCTGGAGGATTTTCAGTATACTTAGAATAAAATTGAGCCTCCTCATGAAGGCCTACTAGCACCTTCACGATCAAACCCCTTTTCAATTTTGACCTTCTTTCTTATTTTAGGGGCTCTTGACACACTGACCTCTGTCAGTTCCATCAGCACACCAAGCTTATCCTCAGTCTTGTGCCTTTGGACCAGAGGTTTTCTTTGCTTAGAATACTGTTTCAACAGATCTTTGCATAGCTGGCTCTTGCCATTTGACTAAAATGGCAATCCTCAGAGAGGTACTCCTTAAATATCTTAAGTAGCGTCCCTTTCTCCCAGGATCCTGTTTTTCAGAATTCTGTTTTCTTTTTAAAACACTTGTTATCTGAAAGGATGTTGTCTGCTTGCTTGCTTGTTCATGTCTTTATTGTCTATTCCATTTCTCCCCTTCTCAGGATGTAAGCTGTTTAAAGGCAAGGACCTTATCTGTGTTATATGCTGTATTCCCGGGGCTCAGACAGAGCATGACCTATCATGTGTACTAAGTAAATATCTCCTCATACTGTAAAGCTTTCCTGACTCTAATCTCTCTTTTGGGGACCATTACCGAACCTCATTACTGGGTCCTTTCTCTTTAATGCCACTTTTACTATGTAGCAAATGTTCTGGCCAGTGGCACGTTGCTGGAAGTGCAGAATGCACTTCTAAGACTAGCCCCCCCCCCAAAAAAAAAAAAAAGTGAAATAAACAAACAAATAAAAAACCCTCTCACTTAAGATTTTTTTTCCTTCTATTAAATTAATGACTAGAACCTCAATGATTTAAGGAAAGGCAGGTCCATGATATGGAAAGACCCTTGGCCCCTGCAGGACCTTGTGTTAGGCTGCCTGATTGGCACCATCTTCTCTGACCTATGATGAGAGTAACGTGTGTGGGGGGGTGGGGGGCGGGAGAGGGAGAGAGACAAAGAGAGAAGGAGAGAATTTGGCACTTCTCTGTTATAGCATTTAATATTGCTTACCCTATTATACGTGACAACAAAATCTTCCATCATTTGGCTATATGTACTTTTCTAACTCTTCAAGTACTACACACATTCTCAACCATAAACTGTTCTTTCTTTTGAAATGACAGTTTTCTGTCTTAATTCTACCTTGAATTCTATCCTATAGCATTATGCAGTAAAAAGGACATGGACTTTGGAATTAGAAAAGTTTGAGATTGAACTCAAGATCCACCTCAACCTAACAACATATATTCAGCATGTTACCCATCTCTCTGAACCTTGCTTTCCTTTGTTCAGATGGAGGAAAATCACGACTAACTTACCACTCCGTTGTGAAAGATTAAATAAGATGGTGCATATGACTTCATGTATGTTCATTAATACATTTCTTTCTGTTTCTTCAACAAAACTCTTTCCCTTCTTTACACGTGTAAAAGTCCTTTGAGTCTTACAAGTTCTTCACTATGTTGCAGGTTTTCTGGAGCACAATTGATAAGAATGTTGACGGAACAGGTAAGAGCATGACCTCTGGGTTCAAATTTTGGCTTTGACCTTTAAGAGCTAAGTAAACTTAGACAAGTTACTTAACACCATTGTACCTCAAGTTCATCCCTTTTAAAACTGGAATACTAATAGTACCTAACTTGTACTGCCCTTTTGAAGGTTCAATGTTAAGGAATGCAAAGTCCTTAGAAGAGTGCAGTGCACAAAGTAAGCACTACAACAATAATACTTAGTGGTTATTTTAAAATTATTTTTTAAACCTTTCAAACCTAACCATCCCAACTCCTACTGACACTGCTCTTTTCTTTCCTTTTTTTAAATTAATTTTTTTTTGAGGTGGAGTCTCACTCAGTTCTTGGCTCACTGCAGCCTCTGCCTTCTCCAGCTCAAGTGATCCTCCCACCTCAGCTTCCAGAGTAGCTGGGACTACAAGTGCACACCACCATGCCTGGCTAGGTTTTTTTTTCTATTTTTTTGTAGATACAGGGTTTCACCATGTAGCTCAGGCTGGTCTAGAACTCCTGGACTGAGCAATCTACCTGCCTCGGCCTCCCAAAATACTGGGATTACAGATGTGAGACACCCTGCCCAGCCTCCTCTTCCTATACTTCAGAAACTTGTTGTATGCATTGCATTGTTGTATTTCCTTTTAAAAAGAAAGTCTTCCTGACAAGTAACTTTGCAAGCTACGGTTTTTAATATCCACACTGTTCTATACCAACCCTTCTAGCCAATGCTATAGGCAGCAAAAACAGAATTTAACTAAATTACATTTTAAAAAATGCAAGCCTATGGCCCTCATGCACTCTACCTTATTGCCATGTGGTTTTTGGTCCTTAATGCAAAGGTATTTCCCCCCATCTAACTTAACATTATAGTAGAAGACTTTAATTTGAAATGGTGTCTTGGTTTAAGGCAAACAAAAATTGAGGAAAAGAGATGCAATAGGCGAATAACTGGGTTAAAGTTTTCAGCAGCCTGATTATACTAATGAAGGACTACAAGTCCTATTGTGAGGACTTTCAGGAAAAAAAGGCAAATATAACTAGAAAATTATTGGTTATTTATCAATTGTATGAATAAAAAAAGACAGAACAGAATTGGTAGTAGAAAGTCTTCTAAGTAAATTTATCTCCAAGTCAGGCTGGATGTTCTAAACACATAATTATAATTGCTAGGTCCAAAATTGTGATATGTTGTTATTGCTTTGTACATTTTTCTCTTTGCTTCTCATTTGTGTTTTAAATCAATTAATTATAATTAAAGCAAGGATATTTATCATAAAACTTTGATCAGACCAATGTTTTCCAATCTATGCAACTTATATAACAGCAATTGCTTTTATTCTTGGGAGTAAAATAAAATATTTACAGAAAAATAAACTATGTATGGAAATGGTCCTTCATTGCCACAAATGAAGTCATCTAATTCCCCAGTTGTTCATAAAGTAGTTTTTGAATAAATCAGGGAACGGTTCAGGAAACACTATCCTAGGACCATCTCAGGACACCTGGCATTCATCCTTATTCTGCCATATGAACAAATGATTTATTGCTCAATAACTACTTAGTTTTGCTGTCTGTGAATGAGAATTATAATTTTAAAGATTCATATTACGTATTTTAGAGATGCTTCCTAATCTCTGGCTGAGATTATTGATAATTGAAAGGAGACAAAGGAATACAGTGGCCATGTATTCCTCATGTTTTACTCCTGTACTAGCTCATATAATCATAGCAATGATATGCCTGGATATCAGTAAGAATCACCTACAATTTTACAACTTTATCAGTAACAAATTATATTAAGTTCCAATATAAATAATTTTATGTAATTTATAAGCTAGTAATCAAAGATAGTGTCATTTATTCAAAATAATATTAAATGCACACAGTATATATTTTTGTAGAATTCAGAACTGGTAAAAGTATTCCTTGATGAACTGGTTGTCATTTCTAATTACAACACAAGAGTTATTCCTTTTCTTTCTCACCTTGAATTCAGAGCACTCAGAGATAAGGCTTTTGATTAATAGAAGCAGCTTCTCTTAGTCTTGATTTTTCTTTAAAGCTATTATTTCTATCCTACCTTTTACATTCTTACTTCTCCTCGACATTGTCTTTTTATTTAACTCTTGAATTTTCTCTCTTACTTAAGTAGCTTCATTATATGTTTACCTTTTGCCATAGCTGCTTCAAATCCTTTGAAGAACTTCCTATTTTCTGTGCTTTCTAAAGAGGTGACTAGCTAATATGAAAAACTTGTTTCTGTGAATGTATAAGGATTAAAATATAAAGCGGGAAATGTTGCCTTCTGGACACAATAGATTATCTTCTCAAATTTAAAAGTGACTCTGGAAATTTTAGGTCAAAGAGAGAAAAAAATGCCACTAGGGCCACTGGGGACGCTTTGGGGGCAGTTCTTTAGAGCTCACAGTAGTTCTTCTGCTATGATGGATGATGTTAGAGCCCAAAGGAACCATAGAAACCTTATAGAGCAACACCCTCATTTCCTGAATTTTACCTATGAGAAAATGAAGTCCAGTTGTAACATAGGATAGATACATAGATCACTGGACTAGAATGAGACTAGACAAATAAATCTTTGCATGCAGGGTCAATTGATTTCAATAATAGTATCCAAAAAATTTGATGATAAAAGACTAGACTTTTCAACAAATGGTGTAGAAACAAGTGGATATCTACATGTAACAAATGAATTTGGACCCCTTCCTCACTCCATCTGCAAAAAATACCACAAAATGGATCACAGACCTAAATATAGAGCTAAAACCATAAATCCTTTAGAAGAAAATATTGGAATAAATATTTGCTACCTTGGGTTAAGTAAAACCTTCTTAGATATGACAACAAACATAAGCAACAACAAAATAGATAAGTTGGAGTTCATCAAAATTAAAAACTTTGTGTTTCAAAGGATACCACCAAGAGAGTGAAAGGCAATTCCACAAAAAAGAGAAACTATTTGCAAACCATATATCTGCCAGGGAACTTATATTTAGAATATATATATATATAAAATTTTAAAACTCTTACAGCTCAATAACAAATAGACAAATAGCTCAATTTAAAAATAGACAAATGATCTGAATAGATACTTCTTCTAAAAAGATAAACAAATGTTCCATATACAAATAAAAAGAGACCAACACCATTAGCCACCTGTGAAATGTGAATCAAAGCCACAATCAGATATCACTTCATACCCACTGGGGTAGTAATAATCAAAAAGACATAATTACAAGCATTGGCAAGGATGTAAAGAAATGTGGACACTCATACGCTGCTGGTGGAATATAAGTGTTGCAGGTACTTTGGAAGATAGTCTGGGCCTTCCTCAAAAAGTTAACCATAAAGTTACCATAGGACCTAGCAATTCCACACCTATGTATATACCCAAGAGACCTGAAAACATACATTCCCACACAATCTCCTACACAAATGTTCATAACAGCATTATTCATAATAACCAAAAAGTAGCAACAACTCAAATATTCCTCAGCTGATGAACAAATAACCCAAATATGATATATTCATACAGTGGAATACTTTTCATGCTAGGGAAGCCGTAGGAGAAAGAGAGATATAGGGGATCAGCAGGTCAGTAAAACATATAACATGTTATCAGTTAAGTTTACTGTTTAATATAGGTTTGGTTTGGGTGCCCCAAAACAATTACAGTAGTAACATTAAAGATCACTGATTGGCCGGGTGCGGTGGCTCACACCTGTAATCCCAGCCCTTTGGGAGGCCAGGGAAGGTGGAGCACCTGAGGTCAGGAGCTCAAGACAAGCCTGACCAACATGGTGAAACCCTGTCTCTACTAAAAACACAAAAATTAACTGGGCGTGGTGGCAGGCACCCATAATCCCAGCTACTTGGGAGGTTGAGGCAGGAGAATCACTTAAACTCAGGAGGTGGAGGTTTCAGTGAGCCAAGATCATGCCATTGCACTCCAGCCTGGGCAACAGAGTGAGATTCTGTCTCAAAATAAATAAATAAATAAATAAAAATCACAGATCACAGATCATAATAACAGAAATGTTTGAAAAAGTTTGAAATATTGTGAGAATTACTAAAATGTGACACAGAGACATGAAGAGAGTACATGCTGCTCGAAAAAAGGTGCTGGTAGGCTTGCTTTATATGGTATTGTCACACACTTTTAATTTGTGAAAAATACAATATATTTGAAGTGCAGTAAAGCGAAGCACACTAAAATGAGGTATGCTTGTACTGAACGCCAGTCCCAGCGGGCACCTAAAAGTGAGATAGGAAGTGAAATCCATGAAGAGGTGTGCTACACTCCAAAAGAACTACCTAAGTTCCTAACTTACACAAAAGTCCCAAAAACATGTGTAGGAATGGACACTAGGGTGTGGGATAATGGTGAAAACAACATGAAATTATGAATCAGGCTGAATTTATTGATATGAGCTCACTCGGCAGATAATAAATACTGCATTTAATATTGCAGCTTGGGGAACTGGAAAGAGCTCCAGCAGTCTGGTTGCTTGGTTGACTGAAACATGGACCAAAAGGTGGTCCACAGTGAGCGAAATGCCAGGCAGGCCTCAGTTTAACACAGAGAAAGAGGTTCAAAGGCTTAGAGAAACTGGAATGCTAGAGTAGATTTGTCATTTAAGACCTACTCACACACATACCTGCTATCCATATTGTTAGAAACAGATTTGTGAGGAGAGCCACAACATCCTTGAAGAGCTCTAGGACCACTCTTCTCTGCAGGCCAGAACTTAAATGGGAATAGCAGTAACTGAATTGGGAAATCTAAATGCAACTGGAGTAATTGGGTCTCAGGGCAGCAGGGGCCAAGTGGCAGCACTCCACTGCCAAAAGCAAGGTCAAAAGCAGCAATCAGAATTGCCAGATTCATGGAGACCTATGGTATTGGCTAGAGTTCCTTGCTAGTGTTTTAGGATCACGGTGTTCCTAAAAGTGAAAAATAGATGGAAAGCCTACTAAATCTTA